TTTTCCTCACGTGGTCACCCGCTCACTCAAGGTGCTCTCTCCTCCTGACGGATTCAGGCACTTCAGGACCCACAGATGCTTCCCAAGGAAATCCCACTTGTATGGGCTGAGCTGCTTACTCTGCTGAGCAGCATCTCGAGCTCCACAAGTACAAGAMAGGGCAGAAGTCAGATTGGCAGCTGTGCTGAAGCACCAAGGCAGTTTTTGAGCCTGATTTTCACTCTGTGATGCAAATACGCTCTCTACTTGAGATGACTATAACCCAGTAGTAGAAATGTGTTGTTTTCTTCCCAGAGTGCCACCAAAGCTAGAGTTTCTGTGACTTCGATGTCATCCAAACATCTCTTTCTCCTAAAGACTGGAATATTGCAATGGCTTTTAATGGGGATTATGCTTTGAATCCTTTTCCAGTCAGAAGCTGGGGAAAGGATTTGCCAACTGTCTACTTGCTAAGTGGAAAATCTCACTCTGGGCACATTACACTAGCAATTAGCAACCTCAGTTAGTTGTCTAGCAGACAAGTCCCCTTTTATTTTAAATTGCAAGCTCTATTTCTAATATTTCTAAGCAATGAAAGTACCTTCTAGATGTAAGCTGAATAGGCACATTTACACTACTAAATTCATGTGGATTAAAAAAATCAAATAATTGTACACATAAAACATACAGGGTATGTTTTCTGCCCTGTTTTTAAAATATGTAACCAACATGGGAAAGACAACAGAAGGATCAATTAAATGCTGTTTCTTRAGAAGGGAACACCTAGACGTGGTTGTGTGTTCCAGCGACTGTGATCATCAGCACCAAAGAGAGCATCTGCACGGCAGTAGGAAGGTATTTGGTAAGAAATAGGTAAGGTTAGAAATGGGAGAAAAAAAGACACAAGAAAAGTTCGATTTTTTTTTTTTCTGAATTCTAATTTCAAACTGTATGGTGCTAATTGTTGGGTTGGTAGGGTCTCTGATGTATAGAATATTGAAAGAAATTAATAGCAAACAGTATCAGTTAGTCACAAATGTGCTAATTAATGTTTTATAATTTCTCACTCTTTCAAAAGATAATTTGCTGTAGTGAGAACATTGGGGATAAGCAGGAATGAGGTCACAATAATGTTTTCTTAAATTTTTGTAATTATTTTTGAAGCATGATGAGTCAAATAACTTTTTTTTTTTAACCTACTCAGCAACAAAATATTCTGGTTCTTTAGCATGAGAAAGTTTCTTCAGCCTAATCTTTGATTGATATTTTTAAAAAAGGACCAGAAGACTAAAAAAAAAAATACTGATTCGGGATGCATTTGAAAGCACCTCTTTCTCCCTTGTCAYAGAGTGACGTTTTCGATGAAGATCACTCCAGAAAGCATAAAAAGCACTGGAATATTTTATGCTGATTTGCACTTTGCATAAAAGCAACAGTTTTGGTATTAAATGAATACCATTAGAGAGCTATTGTAATTGAGATGTTCCTAGGGTACCTGAAAGTAACTTTACAGCTCATGCTGAGGTTAGATGTGTCTTGGTCGCTTTGAGTTATGAATCACCACAAGCCTTCCCAGTCCTGAGCTGTGATCAGAAATTGTCCTGCTGAAAGAGTAAGTGGGTGGAAGAAGCTGCAGGGAATGAGTGTTTCGATGGATGTGCCTTAAAGGGAGAAGTGGCTTGCTGTAATATTTTGCTGCATTTAGATTGGCAATGTGATTGGTTCTTTCTTTCGTAAGGAACCAAAAAAAAAAAAAAAGAAGAAAAAATACATGAGATGGCCCAAGAYGTGAGATGGCCCAAGGCACTTTGACCAAGAACATATTTTGGATCCGTACATCAAGAGCTGAGACCTTCCGCTTCGGTTTCAGAAGATAACTTCAATTAAGGTTCTTGAGACTTGTGAATCCCTATTTTGGGAGACAGAGGAAAAACACTTCATGCTTCAAAAGGAGTTGCAAGGTCATGAGAGATGGTAATAGAGTGTTTGGTTTGGATCCTTCTGTTTCTCTCTGCAAGGTGAGGTATTTGTGATGCAGTGGGAAAGCCAAGTTGCTTAACAGCTTAAATCACCTTGTTAATAGGGATAACTTTGAAATATAGGAACTTGGAAAGAAAGAAACCTGCCTAGAAATTCCTGCTAGTTGGAATTTCAGGTGTAGACAATGAGATACCAGCAGCAAGTAAATAGGTTGTTACATGAGGTTAAAATTCATCCTGGACTGTTTCTGGTACCAGTTTTGGGCAGTGTATCTAAAACTCACGTTTATTCTGATATTGGAAGTATAGAAGTACCAGAAACAGCCCCAAGAATGGGCCGAAAGGGTGAAGTAGGGGGATGTTTTTCCCTAGAAAAGAGGGCAGAAGGGTGATGTGTCCCAAGATAGCCGTAGGAAGCCGAGGAAAGCTTGTTTGCAGGGAGGTTTGGGAATAACTCTGCCTTCTGCACTCCAGCCTTCCCATGTCCCTCGCTGAGCGTTTGAAAGGCTTGTGCAGTTCACTTGATCTATTTAAGAGAAAGAAACTGTGTCAAATCTTTCCATTCCCCGGCCGGCTGTCTTTCAGACCACATCTATATTGTAGCAGGATAGTATGGCGTAAAAATGAACCGTCTAAAATTAATACCATGTTAAACGCTAATGTGTTTTCTGTATGGACAGGCACAGCCGTGTTTGCAGCAACTTAAGCGTAAGCAACGGACAAGCGTTCTCACTTAACATCGCCAGGAAGTAACTTTTAACCATGTCACACAAAATGACTAATTTTTCTGACTTGTCTTTTTCAATTTAAATAAGGCCTTGAAGCGTGTACTTGCCATTACTTCCATGTGGTGCAGCACAAGTGTAGGGACAAAGACTATGGCTCTTTGCGGGGGTGTGAATGGCAGGAGCTCAAGAGGTTTCTGAAAGAGAGGGCTGCTTTTTTTTTTTCCAGAAAAGCCTTAGTGTTTGGGATGCATGGAGCCGGTGACAAGAGCTCTTCTTGGGGGAGCTCTGAAGTTTACAGCAAATTTGAAACTTTAGTTTGATTGACGGCATTTAATTTTATAAATGTAACCCTAAAACTGAGCTATCCTACCAACGACCTGAATAATCTAAGGAAGTCGGTGGTAGAGTCCAGTTTTATGGTGGTAGGTTCAAAACATGTCTTACTCTTAGACAAAACGTGGATGTGCAGCCTCCAAAATTGTTTCCCCTTGCACAACATTATTATGCTTCCTGCAGTAGTAGGAATGCTGAGGCTGGTAGGAAGCAGCTCTGCTAGGAGGAGGAAGAGGAGGAGAGCTGGTTTTGCACAGTGGTGGCTGTTTGCTTTGGTCCATCTCCACTGCATGGCCAACCCTGGACACCTCCTCGCTGCCTGGCAGTCCAGGCTTCTGCTTCCTTGCAGAAAGAGAGGTTTATATAATACATAAATACAAATATAAATACAAATGACACATTCCTCATTAATCTTTTTTTTTCTTTTTTTTAGTTGCTTGCAGGTTGCTCCGTCAACTCAGACCTGCATGTCCTCCTCCTTGGAGTCCATCTAACTCTTCAAGGCTCTTGCCTCATATTCCCAAGCTCATCTTCGCTCAGTATTTACTTTTGTGGGCAGACTGAGCTCAGATATGCTCGTACTGGGGGGAGAGTCTTGCCAGGCACTTTCTTCAGCAGGGAAATTATCTGTGTCGCTGCTCGTCAAGTTGGCAGCGAGGAAAATCCATAGAGCGGGGAAGCCGTAGACTGAAGGAAAAGGCAGCGAACTGGAAGGTTTGACCAATTCCTGTCACCGCGGCGTCTTCCTGCTCCCAAAGTATTAGTAAGAGATTCATGGTATTATTCCAGTAGAAAAAATCCCAATGTCTCCAACAGCAGCAGCCACCGGTCTCCAATGGATGCAGCTCAATGGGTTTGTCAGGTTTTGTGCCTTCTGAAAGCGATTTCTGCAATTTTGCTGGGAGAGTGGCACAAGGAAAGTGTGGAACTTTTGCAAATAATAATAAAATTATTCTCATGAGGGTTTCCTGAGCAACCTAAGCCTTGTTGAGTGAAGTGATGACTTTGCTTCTGGTTTATTGCATAATCATAGGATTAATGTTCTCTAGAAAACATTGGTTATAGCTGAAGTTATATTTAAAAGTTCACCGAACCCTAAAGCCATGCAGAAAAGTAAGTTTATTTGCACAGGTTTTCTAGGAAAAACAGTATTTATGGGATCTTTGCCAGATACAAAAGCAGGCCCAGGTCTGGTTCAGGTTGACGTGTGGCAAGCTCCAAGGCCGGGGAGGGAGCTCAAAGTTGTGTTTTAAGGGAGGAGGTGAAAGCAAAGATGAAATCCAGGGTGACAGGTGAGAATTATTTCACAAGTGGGACAGTTGTTCCTTCTAGGCCCTGTGGAAAGCTTGGGGAATTCATAAGGTCATGGAAACAGCAGCGGGGTCAAGGTTGGTTGTGGGGAGCAGCCTTTCTCCTGCACCACCATAGGGGCCACCCTCTCCTTGTGTTTTTCATACAAAAGAGCGATTCTGGAGGAATAACCGCGCCCTCCCCTTCCCCGGGCCGGCCGCGCCGCCTCCCGCCCGCGCCGCCTCCCCAGGGCCGGCGCGCGGCCACCCAGGGAATTGATCCCGCGCGCGGCCGCCCCCGCGCCTCGCGCCCGCGCGCGCCTCGTGCGGCCGCGCGAGCGAGCGAGGCGGGCGGGGGGAGAGGCGCGGCCCGCGCATGCGCGCGACGGTTTAACGGTTAAAGGGTGGGGGGGGCGGCAGCGCGAGTCCTTCGGCAGCGACGAGGAGGAGGAGRAGGAGGAGGAAGCGGCCGGGAGCCGCGGCAGGGCCGGAGCCCCACGGGGCCGTGAGGCGGAGCGGCCGCCGCCGCGCTGCGTGAGTGCGCGGGGGCTGCGCTGCCCCCGCCGGGCAGCCCCTCGGCGCGCGGAGGAGGAGGAGAAGCAGCAGCCGCCCCCGCTCCATGCGCGGCGCTCGCCGCTCCGCTCCGTCACGGGGAGACGGCGGCCGGGGCCGGCTGCCCCCGCCGCAGCAGCATGTGGAGCCCCACCGAGGAGGAGAAATACGGCGTGGGTAGGTACCCACCCCCCCCCCCCCCCCCGCCCCCCCCCTCACCCCCGCCGCGGGGGGGCCGCCCCCCCGCCCCCCGGCCTCCCAAACCTCCCATCGCCATCACTGCCGCGGGGAGGGGGCGCCCCCCCACCCCAACCGCCTCCCCGCAGCGGGGGGGGCCGCCTCCCCTCTCCCCCGCCCCCCTCAGGTGACGGTTGGGCGCGCGCGGGGGCGGCCGCAGGTGGGGGGGGGCGGCTGTGGCGAGGGGGCCCTCGCGTGGAATAATAATCCCCTTTTCCCCGCGCTCTAATCCGCGGCGCTCGGCGGTGATCCCGCCCGCGCGGAGCCGGGGGAGGGGGGGGCAGCGGCGGCCGCCCCTGGCGTTAGGGGGCGTCGCGGCGGCCGCACCTGCCCGGCCGAGGGGCGACGCGCGGCCGGCGGTGCAGGGCGAGGCGGGGCGCCGCGTGCGGGGCTGCCGCTTTGTTCACGGCCGAGCGGGGCTCCGCGGAGCCTCCGGCGGCCGCCTCGGTGTTACGGGCTTGCGCCGTGGCGCCCTTTTCCCGTGTTTTCCGGGCTACAAGTGCGCGAAGTGATTCCCTCTGCGCATATCACGCGTGAGAAAAACACGCGCTTTTCCTCAACCTCGGATGTGTCGCTCTTAAACCAGCCAATATTTGTTACAAAATCCATAAAAGTAGGTGGTATCTGCCCTGTCTATACCTTTTCCCCCTTTTTTTAAAATACATCTATGATTTATTAGTTATAGCTTTAGAATTCCTTAATATTTACCAAAGCTCCATTTCTGCAAATGGACTAAAAAAATGTAGCCAAGTCTGCTGCAAAGAGCTGTTAACTTGCACCGCCGAAGTGGCGTTCTGGTAGGTGAGTGCGGAGCTGTTCGATAGCCTCGGATTTCAACAGCAAATTTTGGGGGTGGAGTCAATAAGCAATAAAATATAATGGTTTTTTTTTTTTGTCGATTTGTCACTTTGTGTAGCAGCTTAGTGTGCTTTGCTTGGTATAAGCTCCACAGGTCTTCAAAGAAATAAGGAATGCAGTTCTCTGCTTTTGTTTTTCTTTTTAAAAGATGCCATTAGATATTCTCGTGAAGTGAGAGCCTGTAGTTATGCAGCAGTAGGCATAAATGTCATAAAACTGCACAGAAAAATTGTTGCTGGAATGTTGTTCCTGCTTGCCGGTCACTGAGAACACATAAAATTAAGAGTTCTGTTCTATCTCCTGTGGATATTCAGGGATTATAAGTATCACAGAACTGCTCTTGTGTGACTGTAAATCGCCATCAACAGATGTCTTGGTTATATAGGTAAATATAGGTTATATAGTCTTGGTTATATAGGTAAAGTTTTCAAGAAAAAAAATAGACCTTTTTATTTGTTAGTGTTTTCCTTCTGTTCTATACTGTGTTTCTTTTTTTCCTTGTTGTGAAATACTGCTATTAGAGACTTGTTATTCAGAATTTTGTATAGTATTTGGATCATGCTCTCAAATAATAAAATGTATTTGCTGTCTTAGTTGAAAAACTGGATGCACTGATTCTCTTCAGAGAGAAGAAAGGAAGTCTCCATCCAATCTCCATTATAAACAAGCCTAGAAAAGGCACCTAGGAGACAGAGCGGTGAATGAAAACAAGTGTTACTTCAGTGTATCCTTAGGAATGCTGCTCTGGTGATTACTTTCCCCCAGACCATACACTTGTAGGTAGGTCTGAGGGTTATAGGTAGCTCTCAAGATCTTGCTCAAAGAGCATCAAAATTCTGTCATTGTGGGGTAGTTGTAGTTATTCTTGCCGTGACAAAAAATCGCTGTTAATCTGGCAGGGAGGGARCAGAGGTGAAAAATGTCACTTTAGTTACAACCGCTGCATAGGGAACAGACAGTTCTTCTCCAGTAGATCTGTAACTTAACTTGCTTCACCAGTTACCTTCCTGCCTTTTGAGAAACTGTTCTGTAGAAGGTGTAAACATTGGTAAAGTTTCCTCATGTTCAGAGTTGTACTTGCCAAACAACAACAAAAAGTATTTTGATGCTTTAAGTTATCCTGATCTCTTCAAGTAATTTATATTTGCAAAACCAGAATTTTCTTGACATGAGTTGTTGGTGTGAGCTTCTGTCTCAGGCTTTAGTAGTTTGTTTTTATTTCAGGCACTGCCAAGTCGAGGAAATGCTGCTTGTTTGCTGCTGCTTTCTTATCCCAGGACCAGTTTCTAATGTGCCCATGGGTTAAAGCAATAGACTTCACGTCCTCGCAGATTGAAGTTTGGGTCCTGGAAGAAAGATGCCATTAGCCTAGTGCCACAAGCAGCCGGAATCGTAGTGAGATGCGACGGTGTCTCTAGGCATCTGGGCCTCCCTGCCCCTTCCTGTGAATGGGGCAGGATGGAAGAGCGGCCGGCTGCAGCTGCTCTTCTCATTGATGTAGCTGTGATGTGTCATCTTTTAATCTAGGTAATTTGGTTCAGAGGAGACTATATAGAAACTGTTATTCCCAGAAGAAGCCCGACTGAAAATCTAGGAAGTTTTCAGTGCTGACAGTTATGGGACTCTCCCAACTGCCCAGCTCTCCTACGAACCTTTGTACGCTTTTGCAACAAAGGTATTAAATGATTACTGAGGATTTGAAAGGAAAAAGAAACCCTAACTGCAATGAAATTCTTCCTTGACTGTGCTTCTTCAGTGCTGTCTGTAAATAACTTCCTTCTGCTCTACTCGAAAATACATGTGTTCAGTGCCTCTACTTCTAAATAGGCTTTGAAACATTCAGACCTGCTGAAAAGGAAGCAGTTTTTCCTTGGGCATAAGTTAAGGTGGCCATTTGCAAAACAAATACTGAGATTTCCCAACCAATTCATTGGCGATGGGGGGGAAAATACAGCATTCTAACTCTCTAGTGTTTTAGTATTTTCTCAAATCAATTTCTGTCTTTAAGGGAATAGCTATTAAAATGATGCGCTTCAAAAGCCAGTATTAAGTAACAAGGAAGATTATAAAGAAAAGAAGAAGAAGAAAGAAAGAACTCTTTAGCAAATAACTGCCAATTAAGATTTGGCAGATGTGCATGAGCTGATTATGTACTTCATTAGGCTGTCAGTTTGTGCTGCTTTATTTTAATAGTGCCAGGAGCGCATTTAGGTGGTTCTCAAGAAAAAAAAAATTGTTTTTTGGGTAGTTAGTTCTGCCTGTTACCTGGCAGACCATGCTAAATATGTGCAAGTCAGAGAAGAGGGACAACCTGCACGAAGAGCATCTCTCTTGAATTTATTRAGAGAACTTTTGTGTTGAAATCCATGTTTTCAATTAAGTGATGAAAATGAAGATGATTTAAAATTTATTTTAAATAAAACAATGAGAAGTTAATCCATAAGCACAAATGTAGATAGCTAAGTCTTTTCTTGCTCCTATTAAGAAAGGATGCAACTTCTTAATGTCCTAGTTTTTCTTCTCTATTGTCTCTCTCTGTTTTTTTCCTCCTCCCCACTGACTGTTGACTTGCATATTTTGCAGTTTGCATTTATGGTGGGGAAAAATTTTTCTGCAAAACTTMGAAAATGTTTCTCCCTAAGACTTTAATGTTCTGTTCTAACAGGCTTCTCTAGAAGGCCTCTGATAAATGAGGGAGTTTGAGATGATTGATACAGCTGTTTTTCTGCTTCACTGAASAAGTTTAAACTATGTGTTTAAAATGTGAACTTCCAGAGAGATGGGAAAAATCCCTCCCCCAAACTAGGAAAACCTGCATATTCAGTTGTCCTGGAAGGAATGTAAATCATTACAGTTGTGTTCTGCATTACAGGATATGTATTATAATGCTTTATCTTCCATGTCTTTACCGCCAGGAACTATAATTGTCTGGCAGCAGGAGGGAGGTGACTAAGGAGATTCTTCAGGGATCTGTCTCGGGAGCAGATCAGTATGGAGGGATGCGCCTGGGAGATGTCTAGGCAATACCGTGTTGGGAGCTGGTGGCAATACTCGGGGATATGCTCATTAGTCAGGAAAAGGAGGTGATCGGTGCATTGGAGTAATTCTTGATGCCGTTAGCGATCTTGCCCTTAAAGGCACATTTTTAACCTTTGGACTTCATTAACAGAGGAGATGGTCAGTCAGCGGAGACTGAGGAAATATATATGCGTTGTGTGACTGAATGAAGAGTGAATCACCCTGTAAAATGTCYCTGGAAGAGAGTGTCTCCGAAGATGTATCTGACTTTGAGTATGGCCAGGAAAGCTTAGCGAGGTCTCAAAGCAGTAGGCAGTTTTAGTTTGTGTAGTGTAAATTTACAATTCTGCTGTTGCTGACTTGGAGGTTAGACCTAATTTTGTGAGCAGAGGTTGGGATGTTTGAGCTTATTTATCCTGGAACAGAGTGACTGAGTGTATGGCTACTCCGTGAATACCTTGTCCGAGAAGCTGGATGAGGATTAGAGTAGATGACTTGTTCAAGGTTAGACAGGCATCAATCATCTGCAGATATATTTACAGTAGAAACAAGCCAAAGATTCCTAAATACACGGCAGTGAAGTTGAGCAACAGCTTTTTAGATTGTGTGCAAAGGCAAGCAGTGTCTATGTTGAGAAGTTTATGAAGTGATTTATATGAGGAGTGAGGTTTGAGTAGAAGTGGTAGTATTGGAACATGGCTTTTTACTCTCGATCCTGGGAAAATTTTGAAAGAATTTGTCCTCTATTTATTTGTAGTTATGCTGTATTATGCATCAAGATCTTTGTGATTTCAAGGGAATTGCCAGTGGGTATGATGAGAAAGGGATTTCTTTCCCCATCAGTCCTATCTGCAAAGCAAAATGGCTTTTATTTTTAGCTTGGTTTCCTAAGGGTGACAATCCTTAAGTGTCCTTCAGGCTTTTCTCCTCACCTAACAGTGCCTCTCACCCAGCAGGGAGCCACGTCTCATGATGAGAGTCAGAGATCTTTATTCCCCACCTCTTCTATGAAAGTTGCTGCTGGCGTAGGGAAGAAAGAACCAGAGCCTGTGTGGCTGGAAATG